TATATAAATAAATAAGAAATAGATAAAATAAAACTTTAATTTATGTCCTATAAATCGAGAGACCTAGTGGCAATTATTGCCCGATTCAAAATATAAATACAAATAAAATAAAATAAGTTATAAATTGTGTTTAAAAATTAATTTATTATTATTATTTATAAAGAATATTTAAAATAAAAAAAATATATATATATATATAAATAAATAAGAAATAGATAAAATAAAACTTTAATTTATGTCCTATAAATCGAGAGACCTAGTGGCAATTATTGCCCTATTCAAAATATAAATATAAATAAAATAAAATACATTATAAATTGTGTTTAAAAATTAATTTATTATGGAGAAAAAACTTTAATAAATAACAAAAAGGCTTAAGAAAAAACTAAGAAAAATTTGTAAACCTCAACTGCCATAAATATAAAGAGCATCAGCATGAAAAAGTGAAGAATAACAAATTATGCCCAACACAAATAATGAAGATAGTTTACGCTGTAGTTAACTAATTGCCAACAACTTTCAATGTTATACCTATTTGCTGGGCCATAAAGTTTGCGGCAAGTTTAAAATGCTCGTTAGCCCTTTAACACAATAAGCCAAAGTCGATGTGAAAATCATCAATTTTACTGACGTTTTTAATATTTTCTTTACTCTTTTTTGCACAGGCAGCTGCAACAGCGGTTAGCACTCAGGTACCAGGTTCAAGTAAATGCTGAGTGAGTAAGAAAAAAGAGAGTGAGAGAGGGAGGAGAGAAAACTTCCTGAGTAGCAACAGCAGCAGGCAACAATAACCGAGCAACCGCAACACTGACAGCTGTTGCGCCTGAAAGCATCGTTTATATATAATATTTTTTATTATTGAATGGCAAAATGAGTAAATGGCATTAAATTTCTAAAGGCGATAAGGAAAATGGTTACGTTTATATGTATTTGTGTGTGACGCAGAGAGAGATAGAGAGAGAGAGAGAGTGGGCGACAGAGGGAGACAACGTGAGCGCGAGCGAGGGTTAGCCAAATGTTTAGATTCTTATCAGTCAACATTGACATTCCGTGCATAGCCCCACAGTGGCAATTGATTAAGGTTTATGGTTATGACCCAATGACATTGGCTGCGAATAAGACAGATTTTGGTGCCGAGAATAAGGAAAGATGTTACGGAATGCTTCAATTGACTGTTCAGTAAGGAAGGATGTTGTGCTTAACTTAGGCTTATTTAATACTAAAAAGCAGAAGCCGATTTAATTCAACAAATTCTTTTAATTTTATCAAAAATTCTTAGCTTTGATTTGAAAAAATATATTAAAAATATGTTTACAAACCATTTTTTTTTAATGTATCAGAAATATATAAAAAATATATATATTTAATTTTAATATAATAGTAAAAATAAAAAATAATAATTTTTAAAATATTAAAAAATATATAGTAAATTTTTTTTTATAATATAAAGAGCAAGACTTTTACAATTATTTCATAAACATAATATTTCTAGACGTCTTGCATATAAATATAAAAATAAACAGTAAACCAAATGTTCATTGAAATTTTCAAACCAGCAGCTAAGTACTCTTTTAACAAAATGTTGCTCCTCAGCCTCATCTAAAACTAAAAGTTTCCGATTCAAATTAAACTCCGCATTAAAATGGCACAGAACCAATATATTTCGATTTGCAATTTCCGACATGCCTTAACAAATATTTGCAACTTTTATTATCAGCCATTGTCATTTGAATACGACGGCCGGCCCAAACCCAAAAACAATGCAGTGAGGCGATAAGAGCTAATGTGTGCCATGTGTGCTCGACGCTGATAGCATTGGGCAGGTTGCCCTCCTGGCTGCCCGCCTGCCTCATGCTGTCAGCAGCCGCCCACAGCGCCAATAATTGGAATACCTAATATATGTATGTATAGGCAGGTGCAAATTATGGCCACAATTTTCACGAAATGCAGTTACAAACCAAATGCAATTTTAATTAATAGACCAAACTCGAATTCCGTGCAACATTTCCTGCCGCACACTAAAATGTTTGACATAAATGTCTAGCCGCAGCAATGTCATATCCAACATATCCGCAACAGATGTGGGTAGGTGTGTGTGTGTGTGAAACAGTTTGAAACTGTAACTACTAACATATAGAAACTTGAATCTGGTTAACCCACAAACACACACACACACATGCCCTAACTGACAGCCACTGTGCATATGTGTGTGTGTGTGTGTGTATATGCAATTTCCGTTTCCGCCTTATTCCACATGATTAGGCTGATGATATGAGCACTCTTCAGCAGCTGGTGCTCATGTGAGTGTGTGAGCACCGGCTGAGACTGGCAGGCGAATCCTTTACGTTCACGTTCACGTTAACGTTAAAAGGTTTGCTGGTCAAAATATCTAGCACAGTACATGGCCAAAGCAATATAAATAGCAAGAAACCGAAGAAGAGACCAAAAATCAATTCAACAACTGCAGAATGTGAGCAATTTTTCAAATGCATAGGTAATTCCAGCCAAGCAGCATGCATGCATAATTTATAGAAAAGGGAGAGCTACTACTACACAAGAGATTTGATTTTAAGAGCCTTTTTCAAAGGAAATAGTAAAATAGCAATTTACATAGATAAGGTTTCTTTTTAATTCAGCCAAGAGACAAAATCAAAGACACGAATACAAAGTGTAAAGTAAAGTACATTCAAGCTTGAAAAGATTTGTAGCAGTTATTCAGATATTTTATGAGTGTAATTGTGCAATATTTTAGTAACAAAAAAATATATAAAAATTATGTATTTAACTGTAACATAAATATACAGAAAAAAAACCATTAAAACCTAAGATAATATACATATGTATACAATTTTAAATAAAATCATAAATATATTTAAAAAAAATTAATTAAAAAAAATATATGTACATATATAAAATGTTTCAATGTTAAATTAGCTCATAATTTTAATTTTAGTTAACTGCCATAAATAAATAAAATAAATAAGTTACAAATTATGTTTGCAAATATATATAAATATATATATAAATATATAATTATAATTTTTAGCTAATTGTCTGTCTGTATATCTGTCTCCCTCTCCATCTCACATCCAACTCCCTCTCCAGCTACCGAAGTTCATGTGAGTTGCCTGTATGTATGCAGCAGCAGAGAGTCTTCCCATTGGTCACTTGATGCTCGGCTGCAACGATCAAGTTTGAGAGCGTCTTAGGCTTTGAGTGAAAGCAGCCCTATATATAGGGCAGCAGCCACAGCATTTCTCCAGTCGCCTGGACCTGGTGGTGTGAGTCAGTCGTGCAGTGGGAGAATTGCTGAGAGGAAATACTGAATGGAAATACTAAATGGAAATACTGAAAGGAAATACTGAATGGAAATACTGAATATAAATACTGAATGGAAACACTAAGAGGAAATATTAGGTGGAAATACTAAGAGGAAATATTAGGTGGAAATACTAAGAGGAAATATTAAAAGGAAATACTGAAAGGAAATACTGAGAAGAGACACTAAGGAGAAACTCTTACTTAGAAAAATACTTACAGAAAAAAAAGAATAAAATAAAATAAAAATGTTTATATATGTTTATATATATATTTGTTTTTAATTATACTTAAAATACCATAAATAACATAAAAAAACAAATACCATAATAACAATTACTTAAGTAGAGTAAATAAGCATCCCTTGCTAAGAGAAATGAATTTACTTTCGGCCAACTGCTGAAGAGTTAAGCAAACTACTTAGCCTATTGACTAGCTGCTCGTCAGGTTGCCCTGTTGCTTGCTCGCCTGAGCAGCTGGCCACTTTGAAGTGAAGTAATTTAATAACATTAAAATGGATTGCACAAATAAATATGCAGCCACAGCTCAGTTGCAGGTGCAGCTGCTGCAGCAGGTGCGGGTTCAGGTCGAAAGCTAACAGCTTCGGGTGCTTCCACACATTTATTTTAGCCAGCGGACAAAACAAAAACGCAACAACAACAACAGCAAAAATAAAATCAAATAAAAGCGAGGAGCAGGAAGCTAAAATGCTCTTGTAGCATGGAAACGCGTTTGGCATTTTTAATTCCAATATATTTATACAGATATCAGAGTACATATATATATATGGCGGAAAAAACTGGGCACGTGCTACATAAAACGCGGCACGGAATGGCGATAATACATTTCGCAATTTTTTTTTATTTTTATTTTTTGTGGCTCGAAACTTCATACACTTCGCTGGACACAGCAGCAAAAAGTTTGCGAGCAACACAATACGGCAGAGTGTTCATTGGATACTCTCTTATAGCCAGGCAAATATGTAAATATATATGTAAACATATTTAAATAAACGAATTATCAAGAGATAAACTTTTTGTTATGGCAGCTTAATAATTAAGTAAGACTCAATTATAACAGCTAATGCAATGGCGGCATCTCTATCACGTTTCACGAAAGTAGCCTAATACCAGGTGACTAAATAAAAGCCATAGAGAAATAAATTTAAAAAAAAAAAATATATATATATATATAATTTAAGATATTCTCTTGATTTTTTTGTTTTATTTTTCTTTAAAGCTACATTCATGCCATTATATATGGCATAGCAAATGACATGAAATGGCTGTCGAGAATTTCCGGGGATTGCTTTCAGCGTAAGGTTCAATTCTAATGAATTCGTCTGGCATCGAGCTCTAAATAAATGGTGAGCTCCTTAGAGATGCCTTGGCTTTGCAGCTAAGTAAGAAAATAGAGAGATTTCAAAGCAATATTAGTTGAGCTCATTGCTCATTGAGCTCTATCAATATGGTGGGCGTCATAGATTGAGTATTATGTATGTATATTACACAGATTTCAAAGTAATTTTAGAAAGACGCTCAGTGAGCAAGGACCCAGCCAGCATTTCATACTTTTTATTCTATCTATTATCAGACATAAAAATTTCAATTTCTGCATATCATATATAATATACCAATCGATAAAAATATTAGCTTTATATAGTTACTCCATACATAATCCTCATCTTAAGCACTCAAAAGGTAACCCTTAGCAATTAGGGTATGTATAAGGCACAACATGTACCCGAATATTACTCTGACCGTTTTTATACTCGTGTGTATAACTGTATTTTATTACGGCCACTGGCTCCACATGCCACTTGCATAGTTGTTACTCAGTGATTTGTTTCCCGGACAGCGAATGGCCGTAAGCACTACCGGACTACTCATCCTTTTGTGCTGCCTCATTGAAGCTGAGCATAAGTTGCGATAAACTTCATTTACGAACTGATTGCCTTTAACGAGCTGCGATTCTCTCTCAACTGAAAAGCGAGAGTAGTTATGACAGTGCCAGCAGCTTGTGCAGCTCTCTGAATGCCAGCTGATGTTCGTTGAGCAGCTAATTGACAGCCATTGATGTAGCTTGGGTGGTTTTGCATTAAATTCAGAGAAAGAAGAAACATAAAAAAATCTAAATAAATAAATAAATACAACTTAGCCAGAGGCAGCTGCATAAAGAAATTCTATTCAGACAGCTTCAGAATAAATTTTTACCACAATTTAAACAAGCATTGTTATTGACCTTGACCAGCAAAAAAAAACATACGCATTGTAAAAATTTATAGAAGCTTATGCCATACAACGAGAGTTTAGCAACAATAAATAATGGAAATTTGCAGTGAAAAAAACCACTAGAAATTTTTATATACAATGTAAACAATTATGCATTAATTGCTACTCTAATTACCCAATATAAATATGTATAGGTTTTTTTTATTAAAAAAAAATTGATAGACGGTTTTTTACTATGCATGAGAGATTTTTTGATAACTGCCCAACAATAATTATTTTTTAATTTGTACACAAATTCGATTAAAATACAAATGAGCTGCTATACATACATATTTTACATTTACAAGCAAACAAGCTTAACTATGGGTAATTAGCTGGAAAACAAGCAAGAGTGCTCTAGCAGGAAGCTGACTTTAAATCTGTAGAGCTTGGCAAACCTGCAGCTGATACTTTCCTAGAACTCGTGGTCTATTTATAGAAAAAGTAAAGAGAGACATCTCTTTGAAATTTTGACAAAAAATAACTCTTAATTGACCGTCCATCTGTTGACTAAATCAACAGTTAACAACTTCTGCTGCAAGTGATATGGGCGCTCCATCTCTTGGCATTCACTGGCTTCCTTTGAGCTTCGAGAAACAGATGCACAGCAAGACATTTCCTGGAACATTGCCAAAAATCAATACATAGCTTGTCAGTTTATGAACAAGTTTCGTTGCGAATTTTGCCCAGAGAGCAATCGGTCTAACTCTTGTATGGAGAAACATTTTTTGCACCGAAGGCCAGAGAAAAAATTTGGTATACGAAAGAGGTTATGGCTGCAGAAAATATTTGCAAGCAAACATTTTCTAGTCTGAGAGCAAAGCTAATCAAATTAATTATACAAAAGTGGCATAGAATCAGTTTAGTGCTAACTAGATTTAAAAAATAATAATAATAAATTTTAAATAAATATTAAAATAATACAGAAATATACTAGAAAATATATTTCAAAATATTATAATAAAAAAAACAATAACTTAAAAGAATAATATAAAAATAAATTAAATGAATATTAAAATAATATATAAAAATATACCAGGAAATATATTAAAAAATTATTGTATACTAAAAATAATGTAAAAGAAAAATATAGAATTAAATTAAATTAATGTCTAATATAATTGAATAAATAAACAAATTTTTAAAATATTTTTTTTAATAATTTTAGATTATATTTCCCATGAAAATAATCAATTAAATCAACAGATTGCTTTACATATTAGAGTACATTTGTATATATGAACTTGTTTTAGTTCGATTGCTCATTAGTCTCGCCTCAGCAGGTGGCAATGGGCGCGCTCATTATTAAGAGATTTGGATTGAAATTTACAATCAGTATTTGCTATTGTTTGCTTGCTCAACAACAGTTCAGTGTGAGATAAAGAGCTGAAATGCATGCAACGCGCTGGGCAATTGTTGCCTTGATTTGTGTCTATCAACAGCTGCAAATGGCTGCGGCCAAGGTGCGTATACGTAATGCGCGAGAGTTAATATTTCTCTTTATACAATACACAATGCCATTGCAGAATGACTTTGAGCTGCATTTTGAGAATTTTACATGCAAGAGCGACAGCAGCTCAAAGGGAAATCCGCTGCAGAGCGTCCACTGTGGTCTCAGCAGGAATCCCAAGCGGCGAACCCTGCACATGGAATTTTCACTGAGAGAACTGATGCACGAGCACGATTTTCACATTGTCGTCATCCTGCCCCGCCGCACCATGAACTTTGTGCTGATCAACGTGACCACCGATGGCTGCCAATTGCTATCGAATAAGAATCAAATACCGCTGCTGCGCATCTCACGCCAAATGCTTGACCGCTACAGCAATTTCCCGGCCCAGTGTCCCTTTGAGCGGGCCAAGCCGTACTATCTGCGCGGCTTTCGTTTGGATCTGAGTTTAATACCCGCCGTGATGATGGAAACACCCGTGGCCGTACAATTCAGCTACAGTCGCCAGCGTGTGCAGTTATTCCAAGGCCACATCACGGCCCATGTGCAGCGCACCGTCAATGCCAAGCAGAAGAAAAGCGGCTGATGGGAAAGCGATTGATTGAGTGAGAGATGTATTTTTCATGTATGCCCACAGAATAAAACTACTTTCAATAACAACAAATGACCCTCTGAGCAGCATTTCATAAAGTTTCATCACGCTCGAAGAAGTGAGAACTGCAGAATGTCATAGACTGAATACCAAATCAAATTTATTATGCTATTGTAGTCAAATGGAAATCTGTATAAAATACAGTTTGTAAGAAAGGCATATGCTAGATAAGACGTCGAACAGTGGATCTTGTTATGGAGACAAGAATGACTATATAAACCCATAAGCCTTTCATCTACTTCCAGACAGAATATATCTGAAGCACTCTCACCTTCATCTCTTAATCAGTCTTAAGCAATTGGCCTATAATGAAAATGACTCGCAGCTGCACACACTCTAGACCAAATTAAACCATTCGTTTGAGCTAATCAAAAAGTGCTGGTAAAGTAACTGCCGCTGCTGAGACAGAGCGAGACGAAGTTTATGACAATTCCTTTCAGTTGCCATCTTTTATGATTTGCAGGGTATAAAACGACGACAGTTGACAGCAGCACACATGGCGCAAGCCAAAATGATATAAAAAAAAAAAAGGGAAAAAGTAAAGCGAGCAGCATAGAATAGAAATACGCCACCTGTCTGACGTTGACAATGCGAACGCACAGTCGCAACACCTGCTGTTGCAGCAGTTATAATACATGCTCCATCTCTGTCTCTGTCTCTGTCTATCTCTTTCTTAGTCGTTGTTGCTCTGTCTCTGTCACAATGCCGCAATTTGTTTCAAGCCATTCAACAAATGTTGTTCAATTACCTTGCTGCACACACCCACACCCACCCACACACTCACACCCACCCACACACACACACACACACATTGTTGCAGCCGCTAACAGAGCTATTGTCTGGTCTGCTTCCAGATGGCGTTTGACAGCAGCCAATGACAATTGCCAACTGGCAAACGGGCAACTAATAACATTTCCAACTGCCAACAACTGCTGGCCCATCTGCAGTGTGAACTACGTTTGCTAAATGATTTGTTACAGTCAGCTATCTGGCTGCACTTCCGGCAGCTGTTACAGGTGTCGTTACAGGTGAAACAGTGAAAAGTGTGTTTTAATTAGACATTAGAGATTTGCCCGAGCCTCCCCAGTGCACGGTCTTTGTCTATTACTTGGGTAGCTAAGCAGCAGCCACGCCCACAGCTGTCAGCATCGATTTTCACTTTTTGGCAGCTGCAAATGGAGGAAGGAGCCCAGCCCTTTGAGACTGCCAATTGCTCTGACTTTGATTGCCTCTGCGACTGCCTGTCAGGCAACCTGGCAGCTTGGCTACCTGCCTTTAGAATACCTTTTGGCCATTTTGTAGTTCATTTATGAAGTTTAGCTTAGCTATAATTTGCTATTTATTATGTATATGATTATTTCATTAAGCCTTCCAATTAAGGTAAACGGTTTTGTGTGTTTGGCTAAATGCCCGCAGCCTGTTTGTGTTTTGTAGCTGTCAGATTTAATAAGCAGTTAAAGTTCATGTTATATGTATATATAGATATACAGATTCCGATACAGATACAGATACAGATACAGATACAGATACAGATACAGATACAGATAC